TTCAGAGGCGTATCATTTATCCAAACGTTTTAATTGTAAAACAAATAAAAATTTTTCTAATTTTACTATTTTTAAAATGAATACCGTCTTATATGTGTCTGATGCAGGAAATGAAACAAAATCACGGTAAAGATCTAATTTATATTTATATATAAGAAAGCTTAAAAATATTATTAGTTAGGGTAGCTATAATCTATATAAAATAAAATAAAGCAGTAATAAGAAACCGGCATTTGTCGGCATGGTGGTAAAAAAAAGAAAATGGCCGATCTTTTCGGTTTTCCAACGAAATCCAGCAAAATGGGAATAATATAACACGATAGAAACATTACCTGACAGTTATCCCAACGTTAACACACAATAAACACAAAAAGACAAGAGAATTAAGGAAAACTACTCATAGTAGGCACATTTATCGGTACATGCTACACATTGAACTCGATACATAAAAAAGAGCGATTGATTCCAAACGAATCGGTTTTATGACGACGTGGATGCCCAAAGAAACTAGGTTTCGTGCGCAAACGGTGCTTTGTAAAAATCGAAGCAGTGGTCGACGTTTAAGTTGTGTTACGAGGGGTTATAGAGAAGTTGTTGTTAAAAATAAATTTGAAATTAATTTAAAATTAATTTCACGTAACACAACCACAAGATTATGAAAATGATCCCTTAGAAATTATTAAAGCCATCGAATTAGATCACGGTTATGTACCAGATCCTAGTATTACTACATTTTAGAAATATGTAATTACTTACATCGCGGGTTAAGTTGTTCATTCTATAAATAAAAAAATATATTGTGGACAATGTTCTCAAGCACTAATAAGTGATACAAAAAATATTAATATATGTTCATTCATAGATATAAAAAATAAAAACAAATTGTATTACCCATCGCTATCTGTATGACATGTGAAAAGCTTTTAAAAATCGGATTAGTTTCTGAAAAACAGATTTCACTTGATATCTTGATTCGGTTATTATTAAGAGAATATATTTCTTCAAACACATTTTCAAGTCTTATACAACATGGATTCGATCAGTCAGTTTTTGATAATAACAGAACATTATTAATGAAATGTGTTGCGAGCAGGTACCTAAATGTAAGAATGTGCTATTTATCAGAAAATAAAGCAAATAAGAAAATTGGCATGACATAGTAATAAGATGGTTTTATTTAAAGAACAATAAAACATTTAAAACAAATTACTTTTAATTTATCCAGATAAAATCATTTATTCTAATTAAAAAATATTTGTTGGAGTTAAAAGCAATTTTTTTTAACAATACATTTAATATATTTTCTTAACATTAGTTAAACATTTTCATTTCGACAATCTTCAAATATAAAATTAGTGACTTCAAATCAATCAAAGTACTACTCTGTCTACGTCGCCATTTTAATTACATTTTTCTGTTATTCTTAGCATCGCTAAGTGCGTCCATATGTCATCGCAAAATAGTGTTTATTCTCTACAGGGGCGTGCGGTCCATGGATGCGGGGGAAGCACCGCTTCCCTACACTTTAAGATTTAAAAATAGATATTTTTCAGTTTACAATGCGTAGAAATTAATATTAAATTAGGTACTATATTTTCTCTGAAATTACGTAAACTTTGTAAATGTACTAACAATTCATTGGTGTAATGTGTAAACGCACGCACCACCCATGAGAAAATTAATTGTGTAAACGTACAACGTACACACCATATACTTCGAGTCCGTCGGCGAAAGCGCGTCTTGAAAGAGTCTGTTCATTTTCCAAGAGGTTTCGCTTTGAGTTATTGACCCTGCTTTGCCGCGACAATAGTAAGTCCGTTTAGGAACGTGAAATACGGTCGAGAGGCAGCGATTTTTACGTCGCCTTACGAGTATTGCAATTCGCACCGCGAATCGACGTGTGAGGAAAATCGTAGATTTCCGTTTGTTTTTCGTAGTTGTTTTTCTTTTTGTAAAATGGAGGAACTATGCACTGTGCCTGTGAACAATAATAATGTGGTAAATTGTGTCTGTATTGTGTGCTATTTGTTGAAAAAAGGATTTTCAAGTAGACATTTTGAAAAGAAAACGGACATTATTAATTCTAGTAGACTAAAGGATCTTATCAATTTAGAGACGAAAGTAGAAAATTAAATTATGGAATTTTTTTCGATATTCCAGCATTAAAGTTCCAGTTAAGTGTTGTTTATGAAACAACTGAAATTAGTGATAAAAAGACGACCATCAATGTGTTAAATTTTCTTATAACAGCTGGTTTAAATAAGTTCCTTTGTGAAGTCGTCAAGTTGTGTGAATTAGTACTAACCATCCCAGCTACAAGTGCGTCAGTTGAGCGAGGTTTTTCAGCTTTAAAGCGCATTAAAAGTGTTATACGAAATTCAACAAGTGAAGACAGACTCTCTAATTTAGCCCTAATATTCATTGAAAAACAGCTTGTTAAACAGTTATCAGAAAATCCAAAATTTTACGACGATGTTATAGACAAATTTGCAACCATTGAGGATAGGCGAATAGATCTTAAGTATAAATAAATGTCAACTGCTGTGTCAACTGTGCGAAAAATGCTGGAAAAAATAAAAAAAACTTTAGCTAAATGTTTTTTTACTTTTAAATATACCAAGGAAGCTTTTCAATGGTAAGTTTTTTTATAGCTTCTAGTACTAAACTAGGTAATAAAGTAATAGTAACACTTCAAAAATCTCAATCTCGAATATCCGTAGTACTGAGGAAAAAAGCAAGATTTTGACAAAATGGTGAATGCGCCGCTAAAAATTTTCGCTTGCGGCGCTGTGTTTACTGGCCTGCTGTATTTTTATACAATCGCTTCCCCTTCCAAAAATGTTACCGCACGCCACTGCGTCTCTACTTTATTCTATATCAATGATTTATAATTATGACAACAAAATTGAAAATCATTTACGAATAGAAAAATCGTTTAGCATTAGAGAAAATTCTCCAGATTATCTTTTCATTACAATACAAATTAGGTAAGAAATTACAGCAAATATATGTAACTATATACCTACATCATTGGTGTGATTGTATGATCTGAATTATCGAGTACAGAAGCGCTATCTTAATTTTATACATTTTGAGGGATATTTTTTGTATACAAAAATAGTTCTCCTTATCTCTGCACTACATAGATGAGAATCAATGCTATTTTTTTAAACAGCTTTATTTAAATGATATAAAAAACATTTTTTTTCCATAAGTCTTCAAATATAAAATTAGTGACTTAAAATAAATCAAAGTACGACTATAAGTCGCCATTTTGATTACACTTTACCGTTACTCGAAGTGCGTCCATCTTTCTTATCGCAAAATAGTATTTATGTTGTCTCTACTTCATTTTATGTCGATGGGTTATGGCATAGGTGTTACCAATTTTAATTAGTTTCAACCATTTTACTAAATATGACTTTCCATTATTTTCCCGGATTAAAATGTTTCTTGGACACACACTTTATTTATCATTCGCGAAACTAAATCTAATCTCTTTATGCCAGGTTTCAAAGTATCATTACAGTAGAGCTTTATTTTTTTATTTAAAAACACTTTTAGTCAGGGGCGGCTCGTGACCAACATTTTGGGGATTCACAGTAGCAGAATATAGATCCCGGTACATATATAGGTAAAAACTGTCAGTGTTTTAGGAAGGTATATTATAAACATTCTAAAACACTGAAAGTTTTTTCATACACCTGTACTGATACCTATATTCTGTCACTGTGAACCCCCCCACGAGCCGCCACTGCTTTTAGTGAAAACCACATATTGATAATTTTCGTTCAATCTACATCTTATTCCCAAAGTTCGTCATCAGATTTTTCGGAACGTTATTTTTAAAGATAAGTTGGGACATACATTTTTTAGCGTTTTTTCTAAAGAGTGTCGAACAAATATTAACGCAAATGAATCTATAATATAAATGTGCTTTTAAAAGATTTTATTTGGTATTCCACACGATGGTATCAGAATTTTTTTTACTTTCATTTTAGATTCTCCAAAGCGATTTCTTAGATAAAAATAATATTTACTTTTTTAGGTAACGCCTGAATTTGAGCCATTTCTTACAGATATATAGACAGACAAATCAAGGTGATTCCATAAAGTGTTCCTTTTTGGCCTTTTGACACTGAAAAGAAATTGTATTTGTATAACAAAAAGCTTAAATTGATTTGAGGTCCAATAAGACAATTTTACTCGAGTTACAGTTCTTTATTTAAAAGTTTACAAAAAATTAGTAATGAGATCTTTTTGTATTCAGATTTTTCAACGTAAATACTAGCTTAGAAAGTCTTTTAGGAAGGAAATTAGAAAATAGATAGATAAAGGAATAGAAAGTTTTTAGATTATCCTAATATTTAAATAAAATTCCTATATACACTTTGGTTTACAAATATCAAGTTACAAAATGTCTTTTAATTACATTTTACAACATCACCAATGAGACAATGGGCCACATATTAATGCAAATCCTCCTACAAACATTTTTTTAACACAAAACATTTTAAATAACATCTTATAAATTACATATTACGTTATAATTATACTCAATTTTAATTAAAATAAATGTATATTAGGGACATATTATATTTTTTTTAATTGATAATGTAAAAAACACAATCGCATAAATAAATCTTACCAAAAGTTATTTAAATTGAAAATAAAAAGTGGTTCCATAAAGCTAGATAAACTTTTTTCTGATTTAAATACCTTTCTATAAAGAATCACTCATTTTAAAGAAAAATGTATTTGCACACAAGGAGGCTCAATATCTGACCCTCTATCTATCCAGTTATATTTTTTATATAAAATATCTATCGAGAATATATATGAAGGAATGTGAAGTATGAGCATTCTTATTGATTTTTGATCTAAATTTACAAAATAACTCTCTACACGTTTACTATTGTTGTCACTTTTCGTCACAATATGCAACAGAATTTGTGCTTGTGCCTCTTTTTGATTTCTATTGGAGCAGAAGACGTCACTGTATGGAGGGTTTGGACAGTTAGCTCGATATCTTTGGTCTCTTCGGGATCTAAAACAAAGTAAATAATAATTTACTAACCTATACTTAATCACAGACAAGACCAAGTGTTTCAGCAGTTTTAGTATTAAATAAGTAGATTGAGAGAGAGGCAGATTTAGCAATAGGAGCACAATTCGCTGTTTTATAATTTTCAAATTATTTTTATACGCCTTTTCAACAGTCAAATTTTTTTATATTTTACCACTTATATAGTAATTTAGCAAAATTTTACCGTTCAGATATCACTGGAGGCCGAAGAAATAATTGATAAAGTTGAACATTTTATGTCCCCGTGACATGTACCAATAAAATCATAAAATTTAAATTGATTGAATTTAGGCGGTACCCAAAGAGGTTAGAAAGGGTAGAGGTAACATAGGAAGCATTTGTCGCTGCGCGAATTTTGCCAAAACCGAAAAACCGGGTGGAAGGAGTAGGGAGATGTTCTGGGCCGGACTTAAATATTTGTATTGTAGTACCTAATTTTGGTGGGTAACTAAAAGATAAAAAATTATGAGACGTTTTTTTGACTTTATTTGTTAGCGCAATTCATGTATGATGAGGGCAATAACACTTTATTAATATATAACTAGCTAAGGGCCGATTCCACCGTTGTGTCAAACGAAGTTTAAATTATTAAACGAAGATTAAAATGACAATGTTAATGTAAAAATGTCATTTTAAACTCCATTTAGTAATTTAAACTTCGTTTTTGTAATATAAAAATGTCATTTTAATCTTCGTTTAGTATTTTAAACTTCGTTTAACAAAACGGTGAAATCGACCCTAAGTAAAAGTTTATAAAATTATTGCAACAAAATAGCTGTTGAGACAAAAAGTTATCGGAACAGCCAAAGTACTTTTTGCTCGAATTACACACAAGAGTTTTTCTACGATCACACCAAAATAAAATAAATAATTAAATTTTATTAGAAATGGGTTACCTTTTCGTTCGTTATAATATTTTAAGTTTATTTGACGAGAAGAGAAAAAAATGTTTTGGTACTTATATGCCTGTAATTATTTATGATTTAATTATTTTCGGAAAATACCGTTCAATGAATTAAAATATTAGGAAGTCAATTAATAGTTATTTATGTAACCAGTTACAAAATGCCTTATTTTGTGTAACGAGTAAATAATTGCGGAACGAGTGGAGCGAGGTCCCGCAAAATGAACGAGTTACACAAAACGGCATTTCGTAACGTGTTTACATGCAATATTTTTTCTAATTTTGACTTGATTATTTATAAAATTGTGTTGAAAAATGATTCACCATCATTCTTTTGTAGGTACTTCAAATGAAATATTTTAGAAAATTGTTGTATTTGATTGCCCTACGACGTTTTTTTTTTTTTTTTTAATATTAATAATAAAAATAAGGGACATGTGCAGTGTTGCCGATCTAATTTTTGACATTACCCACGAGAAATTAAAAAAAAACAAAAATTTTTACCCATTATCCTTAAAGGAGTATGTCAAAATTTTACCCCCAACATTTATCGGTGTTATTTTAAAAATAAAACGCAATTTACAACTTTTCTATTTTTGATTTCTTTTTTGTTGTTAAACGTAATGTCATATTTTTAAATGTGAAATGTCACTATTCATTGCCTATTTTTCGATATTTGGTTTTTTCGATTTTTCGTATTTTTGGATTTTTGGATTTTTTATTTTTTGATATTTCGATTTTTCGATTACTCGATTTTTCGATTTCTCGATTTCTCTATTTCTCTATTTCTCTATTTCTCTATTTCTCTATTTCTCTATTTCTCTATTTCTCTATTTCTCTATTTCTCTATTTCTCTATTTCTCTATTTCTCTATTTCTCTATTTCTCTATTTCTCTATTTCTCTATTTCTCTATTTCTCTATTTCTCTATTTCTCTATTTCTCTATTTCTCTATTTCTCTATTTCTCTATTTCTCTATTTCTCTATTTCTCTATTTCTCTATTTCTCTATTTCTCTATTTCTCTATTTCTCTATTTCTCTATTTCTCTATTTCTCTATTTCTCTATTTCTCTATTTCTCGATTTCTCGATTTCTCGATTTCTCGATTTTTGGATTTCTCGGTTTCTCGGTTTCTCGATTTCTCGATTTCTCGATTTCTCGATTTCTCGATTTCTCGATTTCTCGATTTCTCGATTTCTCGATTTCACGATTTTTCGATTTTTCGATTTTTCGATTTTTCGATTTTTCGATTTTTCGATTTTTCGATTTTTCGATTTTTCGATTTTTCGATTTTTCGATTTTTCGATTTTTCGATTTTTCGATTTTTCGATTTTTCGATTTTTCGATTTTTCGATTTTTCGATTTTTCGATTTTTCGATTTTTCGATTTTTCGATTTTTCGATTTTTCGATTTTTCGATTTGTCGATTTTTCGATTTTTCGATTTTTCGATTTTTCGATTTTTCGATTTTTCGATTTTTCGATTTTTCGATTTTTCGATTTTTCGATTTTTCGATTTTTCGATTTTTCGATTTTTCGATTTTTCGATTTTTCGATTTTTCGATTTTTCGATTTTTCGATTTTTCGATTTTTCGATTTTTCGATTTTTCGATTTTTCGATTTTTCGATTTTTCGATTTTTCAACTTAAAAACCAAAAAAGAGGCAGTTTTATTTATTTTCATTTCGTAACTGGTGACAATCAACTTTTCGTAATCAGTTGCATAATGTTCTACTTTATGCAACTGGCGTTTTGACACTTGCTGCGATTACAAAATATATCTATATGTCAAAATTAGAGAAAATAACAGAATGTAAATTAAATGGATAGATCCCATATTAATATAGAGCAGTGTTTCTCAAACTTTTTTGGCGACGGAACCTTTTTGAAAAGCGAAATATTTGACGGAGCCCTAAACACATAAAACACATAATTTTAAAAATGTATTTCAAATTGTTCTTTATTTTGACTCTCATTTTGACTTTCAATAGGTAAACATAATAAAAAAATCGGCTTTATATTATGCTCCGATTTCACATATTCAATTTTATAATTGTAATTTGATAATATTACTGCCCATCTACTTAGTCTGTTGGCTGAAAATTGGGATATACATTTATCTGGGTTAAAAATAGTTACCAGAGGTAAGTGATCTGTAACTAGGATAAAGAAATGTCCATATAAATATTCATTAAATTTATTTAAGCCAAAAATTATTGCAAGGACCTCTCTTTCAATTTAGGAATATTTTTGTTCGGACTTTGATAAGGTACGCAAAGAGAAGCTATATATTTCTCAATATTTTTTTCAAAAACATGACATATCATGGCCCTTATTCCCACATTTGATGCATCTACGAATAATGTAATCGGCAACTCAGGCTGAAAATGCACAAGAATATCATTTGTTGTTAATTTATTTTTGATTTATTCCAAAGATTCCTTGCAAGAATTATCCCAAATCCATTTTACCCATAAAAAATAAAATAAAAAAAGTCCTAAAGCAAAATCATATCCTCCTTCCTCTTAGTGACTTAAAAAAATTACTTCTCAAATAACGGTCCTCAAGCCAGGTCCCTCCATTTTGTGGCGATAGTACTGTTTTTTTTTATTGTGATTATTTTCTTCGCGAAGCCCTCACAAAGGCTTTACGGAGCCCCAGGGCCCCGCGGAGCACACTTTGAGCAACGCTGTTATAGATAATTACTAAATAAATAGTTTTGAGAAAACTATTGAAACCAGTTGTGAAGTTTGAAACGAATAAATTGGCAATGAAATTGATATTTTTGTATTTGAATGTATGTTTCTCTTTTCACTTCCTAAAAAAGATTCCCCATGAAACAAGAAATAGTAAACAGTTTATAATAATAACCTTTATTTGCTACTTATAACATGTACCAATGACCAAGTCCGATTCTGTTTATTTTCAAATCAACAAATATGGACGTCGACAGAATCCTTAAAAATTAAATATCTCACCGAAATAAATGTAAGTTTCTTTTATCTGCGTCACATTTCACAGGTTTATTATAAATAAAGCTTTTTACAACACATTTTGGCATTTTCAATGTTAATTTCCAAAATTTAAGTCACTAAAATACCAAATTGATTCTCGTTAACACATTAAATTTGGATAGACAACGCTCTGACATGTGATGTTCTCAACTGTGATTGGTGGGTGTGAATCATTTCGAAATGGGATTATGCGCAGTGTCTTATGTTCCATCTAAGGTTTGTATAATCTAAGGCGGTACCCTACGCATTTGCAACATCATTATATTTCCTAATAAAACAAATGTCACAAACTTCATATACATATATGTCAGTTTGAAACTGAAATTAATGCATACAAGTATTATATTTTTATTTCTGAATAGTTTGTAAGTATTTAACATGAACCCTGTATTTGTGAAAGCAGAATCTACTAATTTAAAAACGTCCACAAACTTCAAATAAGACTTAAGAGTTAGAACAAAAACACTGTAACTTCTGTTTAATTTATTTATAGTTTATTTAAAACAGACTATTAACAATTTATTTATGACGTACTAATTAATTTATATAATATATACTTAGGCACTATTATAACTCACAGTTCTAATTTATTTATTACAATTTATCTTTTCTGTCCAACACTTTATTTGAATCTGTCTGTCCGTCGACAACTCGCGCTATTTATATAAAGCCAACTCTGTACTAGAATTCTCTAGGCTTTCCAGAATGATCGAAAACTGCCTTTCTATGACTTATACGCCGCACCGCGATCATTCCAGTGGTTTTGAGAAGCAGTGCGTTTGTCTATATTGCCAGCGCCGCTAGACTTCATACCGCGGACAAGAAGAAAACAAAGCACAGGTTTGGCTTTTGTGCGACATTGTTCCCTCCTTAAGAAATAGTTCCTTCTGGAACTAAAACTGAATGGTTGAATCTGCAACTGGATCCTCTTTTACAGTTTCCAGTTGCATGGAAGTAACAAGGGACGGTTTTAATTGAAACCTGGACCCTGGGCGAATTACTACAGACCAGTATTCGGACCTCGGAAACTTGGAAAATTACTTCCAG